GTCTCCTCTTAACGCAGCTCAGAAAGTGCCCCAGTGAAGTGCAAACATTTCAGCTACCAAAGGGAGCCCCCATCCTGGACAAATCCTGGCCTTCAGTGATTTGGTGCTGCGGTCGGGATCCATAACAGTCCCGTATTCGAGACCCTCCTGATGCCTCTCCAAAGGACGTTTCAGATAGCTAACCCAAGAACAGCCCCTACAAATTCCTCTGACTCCAAACTCATTTCACGTCTAAGCAAAACGATTCTTTAATTGAAGATTAAATGTGTGCAGGGGCGCCTGGGTGACTCCTGCCCTCTGATCTTGATCTCAGGGTTGTGAATTCAAGCTCTGCACGGGGCGTGGAGCCTACTTTTAAAAAATAAATAAGTAAGTAAATTAAATTAAAAAATAAAATTAAACACTTGCAGCAAAAAAAAAAATGGAAAAAAATTGGACTGACATCCTACAGAGCAGGGGAGGGGAGGAGACAGCAGAAATATATGTAAGTCTATAAATTAAAAGGGTCGTGATTAAATTTTGTCTTTAAACTTAATAACTAGTTACCATAATGATGAATTTGTCTAACAGGTACAAATGGCACACTATGGTCTCAACTATTTTTAAAATCTACTATTCAATAACTTATAGACTAAAGCACCTGTTGCCTCTGGGTGCTGGAATAATAAACGATAACTTCTCATCTACACTTCCTACATTTTCTAAACAGAGCACCTATTATGTTTATAATTAGACTAAAATTATAACACAAAGGCACCGTGCATTCAATCTAATCAAGTAAAACTACAAAGGGGTAACCCAAGAAGTCTTTAAATGAAGGGTATAATCTTTCAATACATCCAACCAGGGCAAAGAAATCCCAGGCAACAGTGAAAGTAAACATTCGGCCAAAGGAAAAAAAGAGGCCAAGAAAGGAAAAGGCTTTCTCCTCCGCAGGCTTCTCTTTGAACAGGAGCTTTCAAACAAAACCACAATCCTACGGAGTGACACAAAAGGAAGGTTCAGAGGAGCTGTCTTCACACAACGCAGCACCCCGGGGGCTTCTCAGCTTCGCCTTGCACAACAGGGCGCCATCAAAGACCCCGCTGTCCCAGGCAGGTATGCGAGGCACGGTACTGTTCAGGAGGCACTTTTAGATGATGCTTTCACTGATGGATTAAACGTGTGCAAAAACCACTAGCATGTGCTTCCCTTCTCACCAACTTTAGGAGCAGTGCACACCCACAAAAGATGTTCGTCCTGTGGATGGGTTTCTTCAAGTCAGTTGCTAAACAAGGCCAAGCTTCCCCGGTACCTAGGGTACCCAGGACGCAGAGCAGTGCCCTCTGCTGCATCATACCTCTCAGGGCAGCAAATCTAGCCCTTGGGGAATGGTCTGGTCTGGTGCATATTGACTTAAACCGAATCCCTGTCTTGGCGGGGGAGGGGACACGCGGGTCTCAGAGACAGTAAAGCAAGGAAGGGTCCCCACCAGACAGACCCAGACTCACTGACACAGCATTCTTGGCAAGGCTTGCCACCCTTCCTGAAAACCGGACAAGTGGGTCTTCTAGGGTTGAGCTACTTCATGCTTTCATCCAGCAAATATTTTATTGAGCATCTACTATGTGTCAGGCACTGTGCAAAACACAGGAATTAGAATGGGGCCGAAAACCTGATCGTGGGGAGCCTGGCTGGCTCAGCTGGTGGAGCATGCAGCTCTTGATCTCGGGGGTGTGAGTCCAAGCCCCACTCTGGGTGTAGAGATTACTTAAAACTAAAATCTAAACAAAACAAACAAAACAAAAACCTGACCTAAACAAAGACTATCAACTCAGAGTGTCACAGATCCAAAGAAAGCTGCCTTACTGACAAGGCCCACTTCTGCCAAATGCTTCAAACAAATGAAAGATCAGCTTCTCGAGTTTAGGAATTGCTCCAGTTTATGAATTAGAAAAGTACAAAAGACAATGGGCCTCAGATTAGAATCAGAGGGAGAGACAGACAGCCCTCCCCATCACCAGCCGTCTTCTTTCTTCTTTCTGTCCCTCCTCTCACACTCCAGGTGTTTTCTAGCCACCAAAAAAGCCAGGAATCCATTTCTTTTGGAGTACTATTTTTCTATTTCAGATACAGGTACGTGGAACTCCTGCCAGAGGGCTCCAAATTTTTAGCAACACAATCTGTGCCATGCTGCGGTCCCTTCTGCCTCTCCCTGGGTGATCTGGAAAGACTGACACTGCAGAGACTGGCCAAAGGATCATCCCACCATCACCCTAAATCAAAGGGGCAAAGATCAGCTCACTTTTAAAGAAATTCAAAGCAGTAGAAAAGATGGAGTGTCAGCTGTCATCAGTAATGTTTAATGTCAGTAAAGTTGAATGAAATGGGGGGGGAAAGTAAGGAAAATGTGTAATAGTGATTTCAAAGCATATTTTTATATGACACTAAGTCACATAAAAAGACACTAAGTCCCGTGTCTTAATAAAGCATTGGCATGAAGTTTTCATGGAACCATATGTAATTCAAAATAAGGAAGACCTTTCGATTGAACCATCTTCAGGTCTGATGAACAGAAGGCACTGAACGCAGTACTTGCTAAGGACCGGGTGGGAAAAGTCACAAGAGCGTGCTCATAGAGATATGAATAATAAACAAGTGCTATTTCTTGGGAGGAAATGAGGTCAGGAAGGGAAGCAAAGGCGGAGAACACAGGGTCCAGGACAGACAGAGGATCCTTATCAGGGCACCCTTAGAGAAAGTTCCGTCCCTGATTTCCAAAGGCTAGACCAAAAAGACCAGCGCCACTTTCAAGCCGACACAGGGATGGAAATTTTAGCGAAGTGCCAATTACAAGCTGAAAGTTTCTTCCTGGTGTCTCTGGTTAGAAAGTTATTTCCTAATTCTCAGACAAGAAAAGCAAAGCCCAGGCTGCAGGAAAAGCATGGATGGCAGTAGTATTATTAGTCTTTCCCTGGACCACTAACAGGTACAGAGAGAGGTTCAAGTGCATTCCTGATAGAGTCAAAGATCTACCCTTGTTCCAGGCATTTCTGCAGAGAACTACCTGGCATGTTCCATCCAGGCAAATTTTAAGTGACCTAAACACATGTCTAGAGTCTAGACCAAATCATTCGGCCCTTTGTTTAAACTGGTTGAGCCCCAGTGTGCTTGCACACCACCAAGTCCCCCAGTCTGTGGGGTGGAGTCTGGCCTGGCGTCCAGGATGCCTCTGTCTGTCTGGCCCTGCCCGCTGCAACCGGCCCGGCTGCCCAGAACACAAGCGAGGTCCATTTTTAAATTCCCTTAGAAGTTTCCCAACCACCGGTTTGGGTGAGGAGACAAACACGGCTGCAGTTTGCTGACATGGAACTAAAAATACCCAACGGCAAACAAAAGCCATCTTTTACAAGGCTGGCTCGGATGTCCTGAGGTTACGTGTGGTAGTGTCAGACCATATCCTTGGCCCTGTGGCCGCCCTAACAACTGCTCGGGTGGAGCAGGGAGCAGGGCGCAGGGGTCGCGCCGGCCCGCGCTGTCAAGGAAGCTCACACCGGCAGCCCGGCCTGATTGATGGAAAGAACAGCTTCATTCCTCTGCCACCCACCCAAACGCAGGCTAGAAGAATTCGGGGCTGCGTCTGCTCGAAGTGTTAGATACACACTGAAAGGAAAACGCGGGGGGTGGGGGGTCAAAAAGAAAAACACCAACCCCATTTCCCTGGAAGGAAATGTGTTTCCAGCTCCCTCCTTGCAATTATAAAAGCAAATTATTGCTGTGGTTATACTGAGAAAGGCAACTCGGAGGCGTAGAAAAAATGGATTTCGGAGCCAGTGTGGCCCAGAGGGGGCCTGCCCGGGTGAGGTGGCGTGGGCATACCATGGCTCCCCGGGGAGATCCGCGCCGCCCCGAAGCCTCCTTAGGCGGTTTTTACCTGTTGGGCTTGGGGGCCGAGCTGCGAACCCCCGGCCGCCGCGCTCAAAGGCGCCCCTCCCTCCTCGGGTCCCAAACTTTCCATAGCGCCCCTAGGAAGGGACGAGCCCCGATCCTCCCCCAATCCACATTTCAGATGTGGAAGTTGTCTAAGCTCCCGAGGGCTGGGGGTGGGGGGCGGTGTTTAGGAGTGGGAAGGGGGCTCACTGCCACAGGCCCGGGGCCCTCCAGGGGACTTCGGATGCTCGGAACCCAGGAATGGAGGAAGCAACCTGACGGTCAGCCCAGGACTCGGCCAAAGTTTCCTCCAAAACTGCTGCGGCCAAGGCGTGACCCAGAGGCCGTAACCAGCACAGAGTAGGGAGAGCCGCTGGGGTGGGGGCGCAGGGTGAAGCAGGCCCCAGGGCACCAGCCGCAAGGTTAATGCGGAGCCAGACCCCGGGGACAAACAGCGGGCGCCCGCTCCCTTCCCCAGCCTGGTGGAGGGGCAGCGCCGGGCACCCAACCTCTCCCCACACCTCCGCGCGGCGCTGAGCCCGGGACACGTGGGAGCCTAAGCCTCGGGCTCCCCAGCTCGCGGCGGGGGCTGGCGAGCTCGCCGGGGCGCACAGCCTTCGCCCCCGGGCCCCCCATCCAGGAACAGGCAGCGCGCCCAGGCGCAGGGCGCAGGCTCCCGGCGCCCTTTCATCCTCAGCTCGCGGCATCAACGGGGAGTTGCGTTCTCTTCATACCTGCCCCCCACCACCAGGAGCTGCCCACAACCTCTTTACCTTGCTTTGCTACCTCGTAGACAGACAGACAAGAGACACAAAGAAAAAAGGGAGAGCGGGGAGAAAAAAAAACTACCGCCCCTCCTGCTCCCATCCTCCAGCCTGGAGCCGAGAGAAGAGGAGGAAGGTGAGCACGTCTTCCCTCCTCCTCTCCATCCCGACTCGGCGACCCCGGCAGATGGGGCAGCAAGGAGCCCCGAGGTGGCTGCGAGGGAAGAGGTAAGGCTGAAAAGGCAGAAACCCGGCGTCAGTGAGCGAGCGAGAGCGCGAGAGCGGAAAAAAAAATATTCAACAAAACCACGCTAACGCGCCCCCTACCTGGGTGCAACATACTTTGGAAATAGAAGATGACCAGGATAAAGGATCCCAAGCAAGTGGCCAGCACCATCCGGCAAATTCTGTTCATCCTCATCACTTCCAGCAGCGCCGGCTTCATGGCTTTGTCCTGGCTGCGGAGACCGGGGTGTCCGGGAGGCGCGCCCGGGGCGCAGGAGCCGGGACCCTGCAGCGCGGAGCGGAGCCCGGGAGGCGCAGGGCAGGGCTGGGCAGGGTTCGGGGTGGAGGAACGATCGGGAGGGCTTCGCGGCCGCTCGCGGAGCCCTCAGCCCCGGGCAGGGGTATGGAAGGCGGCGGAGTTGCTCTGGAAGTGCCGAGATGCGTGGACCCGCCGGCTGCGCGCTCCTGCTCCTCCTGCTGCTCCTCTCCGCCTCCCCGCCGCCGCCTCCGCTCCCGCCGGCGGCCGCCGCGCTGCCTCCTCGCGGGCCAGGCGGCTGGGGTGCGAGCGCTGATGGTGCCGCCGCCGCCGCCGCCGCCGCCGCCGCTGCGCTGGCCGCTGTGGCTGTCGGCCGGACCCCCTCCCTCCTCTCCAAAGCCTACTTCATTGAGCTCCAATGATCTATATATTCCGGGCTGGGTTTTACCAAATGCAACTCGCAGCCCCCGGCGAGGGGAGGGCGCCCGCGGAGAGCCGGGAGGAGGGAGGGACCCGAGCGCCGGGGCGGAGCGTCGCGCTCCCCCCGCCCCTACCCGGGAATTGGTCGCGTCCAGCTGTTTCCCGGGGAGTGCGGAGCCGCGCTCCCGCAGGGTCCCAAAAGCCCTCAGTCCCCGGCCGGACTCGGCCGCCGTCTGGAGGCTGTGTCAGCGTTTCCATGACAAAACCCGGAGGAAAAAAATGCGAATAAAATCGCCTCGGTGCTGCCACCCACTCCTGCCGGCGTTTGTGGAGGGAAGTGGCAGCGAGCGCGTTGGGCCCCGAGAGCGGAAAGGGGTCTGGTGGTCCGCGATTATCTCAGATCCCTAGGCCGGGGGTGTCGGGAAGTTGCTCCCAGCCCCCAGGGAGTGAGTGCCCTTCTGCCGACGCTCAAAACGGGCGGTTTCGTTTTTTCTTTCAAGCCACAGCCTGGCTTGAGCGATGTTTTGGAAAGGAGTTTAAAACGGCTGACTTCGGGTCAAGGTTAGGGAAACTGCACTAGTCGGGGTCAGGCGACAACTGAGCTTTCCCCGGGGATTTACGCAGGGTCTCCACCAACAAGGCAAAAGGGGCTTGCTTGCGGATTTTAAAAACTCTGGCTTTCCCAAGGGTAGAGCTCCCTCCAAATTCTCTGCTGGACTCACAGCAGAGGGGAAGTGAGAGGTTGCCACACGAAGTCACTGTCCTCCGAATGCAAACAACCGATGGAAAAAAACCCAGCCGGCCTTAGCGTTGGCAGGTAAATGGAAAGATGGCGTTACTTTCTTGTATTGTGGAAAGTAATTTAAAATTTCCAATGCCATGCATTTAAATGGTTCAGCAATCAATAAAGTGGATGCAGGCAAATAGTGTGTTGGTCGCTGGTTCCCCTACCCTGTTCTGACTTTCGAAAACAGTCCACTTACCTACACCGAGGACTGCAGATGCTGTTCTTCTGCCCTCTGTGGTTTCTGTAAGCCAAGAGATGGGGGCTGCCATGTCTTTTTACTTTCCCTGTAAGTTTACATTGGGCTTTTAAAACTTAAAGGATTATTTAAATTCCAACAGTATCTGCCAGGGGGAAATACGTGATTGTAAAGACTAACTTTTGTGTCATATTGTCAAATTGTTAATACTATTAACTCAATTTGTAATGAACTAAGATACTATGTCTTTCAGTGCCTCTCACATAATAGGCATTTGATAAATACTTATTGAATCTGAATGTAAGGGGTCTTCCCCCTCTTCTCAAGACATCAGACACAACTTGCAAACAGACCCATGCACCAAAACCCACCTCTACCACCTCAGTTCCCTTCTCCCAGAGCTGTAAGGTAGGGAAAGTAACAAAGTCAGCAGCCTTGTCTTTGATTACAGAAAAGAATCAATTACAGCACGATATTTATGTAACTGCTATGTACTGTATTAATTTGTACTCACTTGTGAATGAGTCCCTTGATAAAGGCTGCTGAGCTGAACAATCCAGAACAAAGTCATTCTTCAGTGATTCTCCCCAGAGGAGATTGGGGATGGGAGGTGAACCCATGGCCACCTACCCCAACCAAGGCAGGGATTCTTTGCATGAAGGATGGTTAGATGAGCATTTGGAGAACTTTGCCTAGAACACCACACTCTCCTGTTAATTCCTGGTTTTACAAAGCAAGCAGGGATCACCCAGCTAGGGTCTCACCATCCAGGGCAGAGACCACACTGTATGTAGGCAAAAATCTGGCTGTGCAGAAGGCAGTCTGAGAAGTCACAGGGCCGAGAAGTGTAATCTCTGGTGGGTCATGGAGGGTTGACTTGGCGCAAATGGTGGAGAAGGTGGTGAGCCATGCCCAACATCCATTTCTGTATTCCCACAATCAGTCAGGAATTGGCCCAAACATACAGGGAGAGGTGAACCTCTCATAGGTAAACTACCACCTCTTCCAAGAAGGCTTCCCTGATATCTCACCTGAAGTAGCTGCTTTCCTCCTTGTTGCTCTGAGCACTAGGTCCAAACCCCTCTTGGGTCACTGCACCCACTAGGCTGGCTTTCATTCACCTCTGTCTCTTTCTTGTGTTCAGCTTCATGACTGGTATGGGGCAGGTACAGCTAAGTCAGAGATGTAGAAGTAATGCCTTCTTGGGCTACAAAGTTAAGTTAGATCACCTCCAAAGTACCGTAACGGTCATGGCATTCTGTTGTTCTATCCACATTACGGGTGAAGGGAAAGGTACCATTTCTTGTCTCCTCCAGCCACACTGTAAACTCCCCAACCACAAATGGACTCGTTGCTTTCTGTACATTTCTGTTCTAACAAAACTTTTTTGACTCATGCTACATGATCAATATTGACCAGATAAAGCACACAGTGTTGCCTGATAAGACTGAGGAGAAGGGAGAAGGTTTGGTATTTTGAATTCTGAAGAGAGGATAAGGAAGGCCTGCCTCTCAGATCAGGGTTTTTGTTTTCCCAATGTACCAGTCAGGACAGGCCACGTTATGCTGCAATAACAAACACGCTGCAGTTTCAGCGGCTTAAGACAACCAGGGTTTACATCTCACTCCACCACGTCTCTGGTGTGCCAGCAGAGGGGCTGTCCATGTGGCATTTTCAAGGATGAGGCCAAAGCAGCCCCCACCGAGAACAATGCTGGTTGCCATGTCTGAGGAGAGGAAGTCTCTGGAAGGCCTCACTTGAACGATTCAGTGATCTAGCCCTGAAGAAACGCATACCACTTCTGTTCATCATTTATCGGTTGGAACTACTCACAGTCGGCTCCACGTCACACCGATGCCAGGAAGTCAGAGCTTAAATTATTTGGAGAACAGTCTTCCTGACTGCAAACCCCCCCTCCCTTGTTCTTCAGATCTTATTTTCCCTTATTTTTCTAATTCCATTTAATGCTGAGAGAGCTCTGGCAAACCAGCACTGAGCTCATCCTGGGACCTGGTTAAAGCTTGCGTCATTGTTAGGCTGGAAACATCCTCTGTCTGAATTAAACAACATGCAAATAAACACCCCCTCCCGCACCCCCACTCCACCATTTCAATGCCTGGTGTGGTCCGAAAAAACACGTTAAGGGGAAAGTTCTGTGTGTATGGATGATCTTGGAAAACTCACAGCCAAGGAAGAAATGGATGTGAAATCAGAAACCCAGCTCGCACGTGCTGTCAGCAGTGAGCCCAAAGATATTTACCAAGCCCTCCCATACCTGCAGGCTGGGCTCTGACTCGTTCCCATGGACCATGCCTTCAATGTACGGTCTTGTTGAGACCTTGCAGGACTGGCAGCCATGCCCCTTTCTGCACTGGGTTGGAGAAGGCAGTGGGCCCAGGCCACTGGGAGACAGAGAGCTCTTTACCATCCTTGGGAAAGGGCAGCTTGTCTTCTGCCAACATCAGCCAGGGGCCCCCCGACTGGCTCCTCCGAGAACTGGCCTTGCCCATTTGCATCTCTCGGGCACCACCAGCACAAAGTACGCTCAGTTAGCCAGAGCACAGTAAATATTTGTGGAGTGGAATCAAAAACCATTTGCCCACAGCATGCGGTGATCTTAGGTGCAGATTGTCTACAGGTAGGTAAACCGCAAGTACACAAATGGGTTACTCATGACACAGCTCGGAGGGCAGACTCCTCTTCGCAGGCTTTTTGGAACAAGGTAGGGATGAAAGACAGGAAGACAGAGCAGGGTAGGAGAAGGGGAAGAGACAGAGAAGGACAAAAGGAGAGAGGAAGGAAAGGATGAGGGAGACAAAGGAGGAGGAAAGAAATACCCACCGTCATTCTGTTCATTTTTTTTTTAAGATTTTATTTATTTGACAGAGAGAGATCATAAGTGGGCAGAGAGGCAAGCAGAGAGAGAGAGAGGAGGAAGCAGGCTCCCTGTGGAGCAGAGAGCCCAATGTGGGACTCGACCCCAGGACCCTGAGATCATGACCTGAGCCGAAGGCAGAGGCTTAACCCACTGAACCTTCTGTTCATTTTCTGATGCTACCTTTGCCCCTCTGCCCAGTTTAGGCCCCAGAGGCTCCTCTCCTTCCCTTCTGGAGGAGAGACGGCTGTTGGACTCCAAGGCTGGACCCCACTCCAAATGCCCCCTGCATGGTCTCGCCCATACCTTCCCGTGCGCCATCCATGCACAGCACAGAACTCCGCTCGTTAGCTTCCCTGGCCAACTCCCCAGCACCTACCGGGAAGGAAGCTCTCCGGCTCCGATCCAATGACCTCACTGCCTCTGCCCACCCCCACACCCGACTCAGGCATGGTGACCACGGAGCTGCCACTGTTCGCAGGGCTCCCTTGGGCCGGGCCATGTTCTAGGCATTTTATGTGCTTCCCCTCCCCACCTGCTTCCAGATGGGGGCCACTGCTATCCTCATGATACAGAGGAGGAAACTGAGGCAGAGAACAGTGACCTAACATACCCAGGGTCACACAGAGGTGTTGGCAGTTTCCAGGTCACCAAGCCCGCCGGCAGGCAGCAGCAGGGGCTCCCGAGTCCCCTCTCTTCTCCTTGCTTGACTGCCAGCCGGGCCGAGGGCTCGGATGGACCACGTGGACCTGTGTGACCTGTGGCAGGTCGTGTCCCCGTCTGGGCCCTACAGGCACAGCTGCCTCGATGGGCAGGACGCCAGGGAGATGCCACAGCATGCAATGACT